TGAGAATTACACTAATCTTTTTATAATGTTTAGACCTAGATTTATTTTAATGATCGAAGCATCGAGCAACATGAATTGTGATAACTGAACATACACATAATCGATCTTAATTTATTTGGAATTGATCAATTTAATTATTTTTATTACCAATTCTCTCAGATTTATTAAACTATTAACTCGTGAATTCGCATGTAATATTTCAAAAAGTATATCTCGATTCTCGATGCGATTTAAAATATTGATAAGGTTCTAAATTTGTGTTCCTTTATAATTAAGTGTACTAAAAAAACATTTTTAGATCACCTAATTATGGTGGACCCTAAGGATTAGAGGCAATTTAAGTTAATATCTACAGGTGGAGTTGATGGCAAGTGACCTAATGATATTTTACCTGCTTTAAAAAAAGGTCTTTAACTCATAATTATATTTTATTAGGCAAAATAAAGAATAAAGTACTTAGTGAAGTTAATTAATTAAATTTGAGAAGTTGTTGTACCAATGATTAGCGTAAAGTTAGTTAAGATTTAAGCATGAAGCTTCTTCATCTTTTTGCCTTTACTAATTATGATTAGTAGCATATCTCAAAGCTAAAAAAGTCCATTATATTTGGTAAGAAATTAAGTAAAGCAAGAATATTATTCATGTTAACGACATGCTTTCATTAAAAAAATAATAAAGTAGTTTATACATTTAATTTGTATTATAAAAAAATGCAATTATTCACCCATTATAATAACAAGTTCATTATTATTTTTATCATATTACTAATTAATATTTAGTAGAAAAAATTACATTTAATTTTTCATGATTGGTTCGTAAAAATGTATTTCTAGGAATGACTCGTGATCTACGAATAGAGAAAGTAAAATTCATCAGCGATTGTCTCCTTCACTCTGATCCAGCAACACACGACCACACCCTACCCTCTCCACGCCCCCCAACCCCCCAACCCCTTCCAATCTACCTCTCTCCATCCCGTCATATCTTACCTCAATAATATTTATGAAAAATAGATTAAAAATATTTTTTGGATGATGTTTTTTATTTGTTTGTCAAAAATTAAATAATAAGTTAAAAAAAAAATCTTTGATTTTAATTTATTCCAACTTAATCTTAAATACAGATCATGAGAGTGCATTATGTGTGCTTTATTTCTGGATGACATTATTGTCAAAAGACTTAAAAATATTCCCTTCTAAAATTTTACTTTTAAAAAACATGGATTATCCTAAATTTTCAATACTATCTAGAAAAACATGCCACCATGAAATACAAGGGAAAAAAAATAATCTAAAACCAAGAATTAGATTCCAAACAGAAATTTAACTTCTTGAACATATTCTTTTAGAAAAATAAATTAGATAATCGAGTTTTTATTTACGTTTAAAGACAGGAAAATGGAGAATGGAGTGGAAATTAATTACGAAGAAATCTTCATCTTATTAAATAATCAACCAATTAAGCAACTATTTTCGAAAAGATTATAATGTCATATTGAGAGTAGAATTTTGAACGTTGGTCCTCATGTAGCCTCAACAAATAACAATTGATAATGACAATTGAAAATTTTTGGACCCTCATATCATTAATGCTCATACTAAAGGGGTGAGATATATAACTCCACCGACTAATATGCTACCTAATTTTTGTCACTATTTTAGCAACTTTCATGGATATTTTTAAAAATATATATATTCACTCAAAAAATAAATAAATAGTAATGGTAATATAGAAGGGAAAAGAAACTTGCTATTTTTTTCAGTAATAGTTTTACTTTCTTAAGATTTAATTATTTCTTTTCGTTTTATATTAGATTGATATTTTATATTTTACAGTGTGATTAAAAAGTTATTAATAAATTCATAACCAACTTTATTATTTGTTCATTGTTCATAATTTCGACATTTGCTTCCGATAAATTAATAGTAAATTTTTGACATCATTTTTTAAAAAATGTACAGTACTTTTCATCGTTTGAATATGAAGAAAATCACTATTTACAATAATTTCATCTGTTTCATGCACGTTCTATTTTAATACGTAATCTAAATGTTTTCTAACAAGCTATAGATTGTCGCCTAATATATAGCTAGATCAACGTGACTTATGGTAGAATAATTGAACAAGAAATCTCAGTTTTGAGCTCTTGAAAAAGAAAAAAATCCTCTTGAAAGTGTGACTTTACAAATAATTCTATAACCTAGTAATGCACGAATTTAAATTAATCAGACTCTAATAAAAATACTGATAAAAAAAAATTAGATTGCTATATTCATTTTCACCATCTTAATTATATTTCAATTACTTTCCTTTTCTTGTCATCAAATGGTGAGAGAGAGTCCATACAAAGACATTCGAAATAAAATTAAAACGAGCTTAAGTTATCAGAAAAAAATAAATCTAAAGTAGTAAATTCTTAGGGCCCCAAAAAATGACTTTGCTTATATCAATAAATAATATAATATAAAGTTGGAAAGCTACCAATCACCCTTCATTTATGGAACAATCGATGAAATACTTTTTTAGAGCCCCAAAAATCATTTGTTTTTGTTTTTATAAAATAGATACTAATATTATTTTTATTAATACAAATACCATGTTTGGCTAAACTTTTAATTCATAAAAAACATTAATTTACACAAAAAGGAAGATAAAGAGTTGTTTGTGTATTTTTTTTTATTTGGAGAAAATAAGTATTTTTTGTTAGGTTGAGTATCAAATTCTATTTTTCAAAGCTTAAATATTATTTTTTCTCCAAAATAGACTTAGAAGACTTTTTAAAAAGTTTGGACAAATACTATTTATTGTTCAAAAATATTTTTTTAAAATTTATGATCGACCACAAATTAGTTTTTTACAAAAGAAAAAGGAATCATTTTCAGTAAACTAGAAGGCGCAAATCACTTGAATTGGAGTTTGTGTCAGGTATATTTTATATAGAGAAGTATTAAAAATATTTTAAATTTGGCGTGAATTATTAATTTAATTTCTAAATAGCTTTAAAAATATTCCTTTACTAAATACGTCCTCAATCTTGTAACAGAATGAAATATATCCCTAGATTCTTGTCAAGTTTAGGAGTGTTTTCAACACTTCTCTTGACTATTTATTAAGAGACTCATGCTCACACAAGAGTTTGAGACTACTTAGTATATTATACAGCGTATCAGGAATGTACCTAAGTTTAGTTAATCAAGTTAAAAATTATTTCTAAGATTGTCAATAGTTTGAAAAAAAATAATAATTTACATCAAATTTAAAGGTATTTTCAATACTTCTCTCTTATTTATAGTCCTTTCATAAATGTTTATCCCTAAGACCTCTTCAACAACGGATTTTTTTTATATATATATATAAATATACTAAAATTTTGATACTTTTACAAGTACATAAAAATATTAAAAATTGAACTCATCAAATTTAAACAACGAATATAATCCATCCCTAGCTAATTAGCTTTTCTTGCTGTCACATACGATAAAAATCATTGGTTAGTTATTTTTTTTTAAAAAAAAATCATAAGATAGTTTGATACGAAAGTTTTCCTCCCCAAAAAGGTTATCTTTGATGTAAAATATTTTACATCCAAGTAGATGGAAGATAAAAGTAAAACTACTCAAACAAAACTATATATGACAAATGGGATAAAGATTAACAAATACAAAAGTATAGAATAAGCTTGATTATTAATTTAGAGACTTGCGATGTAAAAAAAAAAACCTTTGTCATCTCCTTTATCATTTAAAAGTAAAGAAATACACAAACATGTGGATGAACAAGAATGTAAAATAAATATTTTCGTTAGATAGTTTTTCCTAACAATCATATCCTTTTTTGTTAAAATGATCGTGAGAAAAAAGAATATCAGGAAGCTCACTCTCGACTGGGCTCTAAGCTTTATTGATTCTATTTTTGTTTATGAAAGTAACAAATTGAGCACTAAGCCAAAAATACATTGAATCACTAGTATGTATGGGGACATAACTTAGTGAATGGCAAAAATGAATGATCATTTCAAGAAGTATTTGGTTCATTGTCCTTGTCTTGATGTTGATGGTTCCATTTTAGGTTCATCTTATAAATTTATATTTTATATTATGATTATGATTGATGGCCTTTCTTGGACAGAGACTTGTATGAATGAGAATTGAAGTTTTAGCTTGTGGGTTTTCCCAAGTAAACGTATTACAATTTAGATCAAATAATTTTCTTTTCCAAAACTATCACTATCTCAATATACCAAAATTATTTTCTTTATGGTCAAAACAATGAGTGGTTAACTTCTACCAGAATAACTTTTTTTTTTTCTGCAATGATTATCCAATATGTAGTTGGGACATCAAAAGGGAATGCAATTTCAAATGCTAATTTACGTCATTATGATCTAATAAAAGACAGAACGAGCCGATGCTTATTCCCCAGATACCATCATTTTCTGCAGAAAAAAAGAAGTTTACGACCCACAGGCCTTCTACCTCCACACAGCTTTGTATATTTTCAAATATAGTTGAACTTGATCAAATAAATACTTCGCAAACTCTTTAACAAACTGATATGCTAACTCCTGAGTTCAGTTCAATCTTTACTTTTGGACAAAGGCCCAGCCAATTGTGTGTCTCATATTGCAATAGTGGCCTGTCAAGTTAAGAAGCCCAACCCAAGATCAATGATCCCTTCACCCAAGGAGAGAAACCAATTTTCATCCCTGACCATGAACTAGACCGGTACCGGGAGAGTTGAGTATGATATAAAAGTGAAAATGGGGTGGGGTTTAAGCCAACTCACTCACACCTCGACTAATTAGATGGAATCCCACTAGATATTGGGTAATTCTGGGACATATGTGAAGAAATCACCTAATATTAGACGTCATAGTTGTTCTCAACACACTACATATGTCTAATGGATTTCCACACTAGGAAGAAATGGATGTAGCCTCACTAATAATGGACAAACTTATTTCTATAAGAGTAACTATATTCAACAATAGACAAAATGAGTCACTTGAAGGATGGACTGCTCGATTGTATTGTTATGGGTGAATACTATAATTCAACCATCTCTGTCAAGCTCTGAATACAGCTAGTATAGCCACTATAAGTTCATAGAAATCAGCTGAACGATAACAAAAGAAAAGGCACATGGTCATGCTTAAAAAGCAAGCTCTCTACATATTTGTGAGGAGAAAAACAAAGCAAACAAATTTGCTACAGCATACAAACATGTCATTTCACTAGTTTTCTTGCTCACCAGGGCGCCGATATGGCAAGAATCTGTGGTCTTTCGCAGCATTCTTGCGCCTTTTCTTCTCAATATATGATTCCAGTTTGCCAGCTTCTTTGAGTGACTTGTATTTCTCAATAAGTTTGAGTTTCTGAATTTCAGATTTTTTGAGATAATAAGGTCGTTTTCCTTGCTTAGCAGCTTCCCTCTCTTTCTTCTTGTGCTCTGCCAGAATCTCTTTCTCAGTGTGCTTCACTCCTGCCGATTTCAATTGTTTGTCAATCCAAGAAACACGACTTTTCAGTTCATTTCTCTCTTCTGGGTCATTTGATTTCCTCATCTGTTTCTTCAGATCCTCTTTTTCTGCTGGAAGATTATCCTCATAAAGGAAATTGTATCTCTTTTTGAACCCTTCTTCATCTACCTGGCCATTTAAAGACTCAAAGCGAGGGTCACGAGTGGCCCTTTTAGGAACTTGGATTATTTCCCTAAATCGGCTTACTGGTTTTTTGCTACTCATTTCCATTGGCCTGTTCTTGTTAGCTCGGCTACTTTTTCCTTCCGAATTAAGCTTCCTATACACTGTAGCTGATCCATCAGACCGTGCTCTCTGCAATTCTTCAAAGGTCACATCAGCAAGCTCCTCCTCAATCCCCTTCTCCTCCTCATCTTCAGATGAAGATTCATGTTCATCAGAGTCATCGAATCTTATTTTACTTGAACTTGCAACAGCTGGCCTATCTTTCCTCATCTCAACAATTTGATTTCACTAGAGTATAAGAAGTTGAGAACTTTGCTGTACAAAGATTGGCAGGAGTAAGGAAGAACCCCAACAATAGTAGCATATAACACAACCCAATAGTTAAAACAGAAGAATACTAACTAGCCGGCATACAAAAAAAGCCAATGCCAACTTAGCAAGACCAAAATGCAAGTAAACACTCAGTTTAAGTCAAATGGTTTCTTCATTGACAACAAAGGTTCTAGATCAAACTCACATTACATCGTGACAGCTCGACTTATCCATCAAGCAGCCTGCTACCTCAAACAAGCACAAATCCCCGGTCTAAGCCTACCACCAGATTTTGATCACTTGTAACTAGTATAGGATGTGCGCGTAACATCTCCATGTTTCACTAAGCACGTCCCCTACTCCCACGGACTTTCAGTCAATTAATTCAACAGCTTGCATTCATTTAAAAGGGGCAAAGCTCCAATCTTCCAAAGAGAAATTGAAAAAAGACAACACAATATGTCTTCCCGAACATGACATTCTATTTTACTACATACATCAACTCATAAAGGCCTACATACATCAAAACCTAGAAAGGTCTAGCACTCATCTTGCTAAGTTCACTAATATAAATAACCTGTAAAAGCAAAAGGCAATAAAAAACAATTCATTTTCGACAAACTTCTCCTTATTCCTACTTTACACATTGAATTGCGATATTCAAACAATTTAACAGAATTACATACATATATACATATATACATACATACACGTGCAGAGCAAAACCAAACTGGGTAAGCTTTCACAAGAAAGCAAGTCGCACAAACAGATCCAACAAAAACGAAGTTACATCAATACAATCGCTGATTTTTTTTTTAAAAAAAATAAACAGGAGAAATTCTCGCCAACAAACAGACTAAACATGGCAGAATTCATTAAATAGAAATTGACCTAACTATAACCTCGTTTGAAACACAAAAATACATGAATTTCACAGTGAAGTCACCCAAATTAGCAACAAAACCTAAGTATATAATCGAATATATGGCAAAAGAGATTAAAGAGTTAGAAATTGTTTGGTACCTTCAAGCTGCAGCGGAGCAATAGGGAACCTTCAGTTCAGCGTGTGTTTTCGAGTTATTAGGGTATTCTCCTGTAACTTGTCTCGGCCCAAAGCACCAGAAAATAAAATAAAAAAGTTTCGAACAAATAACAAAAATCACATACTTATCATTTGTAATTTATAAGTTTATAATTACAGAAATTTCTCTTACTAATACAGTAATATCTCGAATTTAAAGTTCAGGGTGTATGGACTATGGAGTTGCTTTGTTAGAAAGAATGTTATACTTTTTTCGGTACGAACTCAAATTTAATCAAGTTATAATATGGAAATTAAACACCCTTTTAATTAACTTATTTTTTTTGCCAAAATAGTTTTAAGTAATTTTTTAGTGTTAGACTTTGAATAAGATGATAAAGAGATTTAATTTCAGACATGTTAATTCTTACCAAGTTTTCTCAAATTTTATGTGTCAAGTAACACAAACAATTTTTTTGCTATTATAAATTTGAGATAAATTATAAATTTGAGATAATTCCTCTTTTCTCTATCTTGAACTATTTGTGGAGTGTTAAATGTTTCTTTATTTAGGTGGTAATCTATTGGTAACTAAGCATAAGTGAAATGTCTAATGTTATAAGAAATGAGAACAGAAGGGAATGATACATATAATTACAGCATAATCCAAAGGTTCAAATAAACTGATTATTTTTTTAAATTTTTTTTTTATGATCAAACGCGTATTGTATCTTCTACTATTCAGTGCCTCCATCCCTTTGAATGGCCATCCTCCATATAGGGCTCAAGGAAACCAATAAACTGCAAATCCAATGGAAATTTCTTAGTCTCCCCCAGCTAGTTTTTGAAATAAACAAACCTTACTTTTCATTGATAAGTGATCAGAAACCTTGTAAGAATTATGTTATATGATATATAAACTTTCATGAATGGTGAAAAGGAACCTCAGCTCAGCACTAATCAGAGTATATGTACCTTACTTCCATCTTTAGACCACCGTGCACCGTAACCATTAGCAACTCTAATCTCAAAAACAACACCATGTGGTGGAACAATATGAATATTCATCCAGCAGGAACACGTTATTAAGTTCCTGATGACATCCAGGGCATTCCTATTTTTATCAGAATCTGGAAAGTGAAAAACACGAGACAGTAGCACATGAATCGTTGGTATCATGCAGCAGGTGATAACAGGAATTGCTTTCCAGAAGTAACAATGTACTCGTAAAAGAAGAAAAATAACAGGCACAACTCAAGCATTAGAACCTCACATGCAAATCAAGGATGTTCATGTTGAAGAGCTCTGAAGTGAGGAACTAACCACTTCCAGAAAAACTACCCCAGTATTTGTCACTGCTCCTGTTGACGTGCTTTGACAATGCCCTCGCTCCATCAGTCAATGTACAACCTTTAGCCTGTTGCAGAAACTAGATACCTCAGGATTACTCTAATATGTAAAATAACCTGCACCAGAGATTTTTCTCTTCCTACTTTCTTGTTCTCCTACTTTTAATAGTTCAACATGTCATCCACTGTCCACCTTACCCATCTTGTTAAGACAAATAGTAACAGAATGGAGAAGAAATGGTATTGCTTTACATAGGATGGACATTAATAAGGAGCATGAACCTGCTTTAGTAAAACAGTCCAACTCCTGTCACCTGTTTTGATCAAGTGGACATTTGAAGTTCTATCTACTTCTTGGTGTCCTACTGACGTACAACAAGGCAAGCGGAAGAGCTTGCTTTTATTAGCCAAGAAATGTGGCAAAGAGGTTGATGGAGCTTCAGACGCAACGCGATACAGTTCTCTCTTCTTTCTCATCTTACTGTCATCTCAATTTACTTCTATTAAAAAAATGTCATCTCAATAATCCTTTACTTTCAATAATCATAATAACTATAAAAACAGCTTATTCACAACAAAGTAGAAGTTTGTCCGAGAGTATTTCACAAGGAGAAAACCAACATAGTTTCATACATTTGGATTATGTGGCAACAGAAATGATGAGATTAGAGAAGATGTTGGCGGTGGAAGTGCCTCAGAAACTGTTCCAGCTGTATATATGAATCCTAAAAGCCTCTGAACACCAGCATAGCTCAGTTCCTGAACGAAATTAGACTCTGAATTAGGACTTGACAAACATCTTTCTATCTCTATATGCACCTGAAACAATATATGAAACTTAGTAGTCTTAACACAGACGTTAAAATTTGGATTTGATCTCAAAGCAGCTATGCTAAGGGCAAACTAATGCACGACTAAAGCACATACACTTGTAGGAGGACAAGTGTGTTAACGATAATTGAAGTTAAAATTTGTGCTTGATCCCAAAGCAGCTATACCTAGGGCATCTCATGCAATATCAAAGCACATACAGTTGTAGGGACATGCGAGTCAATAAGAAGCATGTTTTTGACAAAAATATCTGAAAGAATCATTTCTAACTTACAGGAGAACACAACTTCAATGATAGCATTATGTCATTTTGACATGATCTAAATTTTACACCTTCAATGTCAAGATAAGTAGAGCTAAAAGCATACTCACGGATAGCATGGAACTCAGATCGATGGAAGGCTGAGAAACCAGCTTCTTAACACTGATAGCAAGAACACCATTTGACCTTTCTTTCTCTTCTGAGTAAAATTTCCGGTAAACTTGGACACCTGAAATTGTCATGTTTATACAACTTAGCTTGCATATAAGGAACATTTATCATAAAAAATTACGAATTGGTTATTCATTTTACTAATTACCAAGTATTGAAAAGTTAGTTACTAGCAGAAAGCAACAAAGTCCAGTATACAATTAGCCTCACCTTCAGTTCCTCCATATTTACAAATAAAAATGGATCTACCAAGCAGTACCAACTTACAGAAAACAAGAGAAATCAGGGCTTTCACCTCACATATCAGTTATCACTTGAACATATTGCTTTACACTTGCAAGATTTTAGAGCAAATAAGGTCTCAAATGGTCCAATTATATTACAGTTTCTCTGATAGCCTTCAAGAAACCAACTATAACTTGGCTTTAAAAATATGATTGCAAATAGCTCAATAAGAAACCAAACTAGGAATACCGTAGTTACTTAACAATAATTCTATTTTTGGACTCTCAAGTTTTGTGTTCTTCACATCATTAAAATGATGAGCATCAGATGTGAGGTGAAAAGAATAACAAGATTGAGAACGGAAGCTGGGATTTTCAAGATAGGGATGAGCAACCATAAGATATTTGTTAACATATCCATAAGATAAATGATGATCTTACAGAAGATACTACTCTTAGATTCAAACATAAGATATTTGTAAGCCTATCCATAAGTTAATGGTCTTCCAAACATATTAAAAAGTCCCTACAATCATGGAAGGTATGGAGTGAGAAGTAACATCCTCTCTATCATACAGTAAGAAATTTCCACCTTCTTCAGTGGTATCCACTCCAGGAAGAACTTCTTTAAGACTCTCTGCTTCTAACATCTCACGAAATGAATGATAATGACGGACATCCTGCAAATGGACATTTTATTCAGTTAACTATAAGATGTACCAAAGTGATACATAAAAAGAAAATAAATGTACATGATGAATGCACCTGAACTTGAAGAACTAAACATTTGTTGATGAGGATCAAAGCACCAGATTCAATTCTAACATCCAAAAAAGACTTCATCTGAGAGAGGAAAAGAGAAGAAAATATTCTTGTAGATGATCATGTATCAAAGATGCTTCCTGCCATTTTTAAGCAAGTCCTTTTAGAATGAAAGGATATTTCTTGTAGTTGAATCGCGAGGGTTTTGGTTTCAACACATTTGAAGATAAACCTGAACTAACTTTTCAGCACTGTACTAAAAGTGGTTATATCATGAAATGCAATCTCAAAAAGTTATGAGAGAAATAAAGTGAGATACTAGCAAACACGTTAAACAAAAACTACTAACAAAGAAGGTCCCCATGATCTAAAACATTAGAGATGGGAATTCTTCTTGTGATGGAAACATTGATAAGGGTCGAAATAAACAACCATACATGACTCTTTGGGCATCCTCTTTAGGGCATCCAAATTATCATACGACACAGAAAATCAAGTTTTAACCAACTACAGTTTTAGAAACCAAAAGGTATTCTAAGGATAGTATTTTGGCACTTGACTTGATTGAGTGGATTTATTAAGGCTGCCACACAAACTTAACTGATTAGAGACCTTGAGAATTAGCATTAAGCACAACATGTTTAATGAGGAGACGGCAGAAGCAGTCAATATAGTAAGCAAAATGCATACAAGTCATTATGAAGTCATACTTATTGTAGTGTCCAACAGCACACCTTCCTTCAACTGTTTTCTGTCCATCTGCAAATAATTTCGAACACTTAATAAAGAATTCCACTATGACAGCAAAGGTGAAAATGCATTAAAATCTAAAGGAAATATAAATCTATGACAAGGTGGAAATTAATTTTGCTAGGGGAAAGCAATATATCCAGATATTTATACTTCTAAGCAGGGAGAAGTAAGGCTCCTGAACATGGAGTTCAAAGTCCACAGATTTTAGCACCTGTAGTTAGCAACACCCAATATATATTACTTCGGGTTGATGTATGTGAAACTGAATCAAAAGGAAGAAACACTATAACATGTTTAACTTACATCGAGCAAATGAGAACCTTTTTCCCTAATCAAACTAGCCCACTCTTCTTCCTTTTGTTTCAAAGAACTAGTTTCTTGCATTACAGCAAGTTTGTTTTCTGTCCTTGGCAAGGCTTCAGAAGAAAAAGCTTCAAATAAGGATGCTGCAAGGCGCTTGTATAAAGGATATAACGGAACTCCTTCAGAAGGACCTGTCATATACAGGAAGCACAAGATAAAGAAAATTATCAAACTTGATAGAGGGTCAAGTATCCAAACTCTGGAATAAGTAGTACTAATGAGAATCTTTAATCTTTTACAAAGAAAAGATAGACAATTCTCATTGGATTAATCAGCACCTACTCTCCAAACTCCTGTTCCAGGGAAGGGAGTAACAGCCCTTCTTTCTATATAAAAGCAAAAGATCCGTATAGACAATACCAACTATTTGGGATTAAACTAGTTATTCGTGTTTGAACTATAAACTTGGAGGACTCTTTTTATGTTTGGTGTCAAGTTTTCATGACTAAGCTAAACCAACTCCTTAAGTCATGGCAACATTTAGCCCAAAAAATACAAAAAGTAAGTGTAAATTATACATTTGCTTTATACTTCCATTGTATGCCATTAATCTTTTAATGGCAAGGTTAATCACAATGAATTAATCAAATGTTAAGGATCAAGCACTTCCTTGAGCCAAGTACCTATCAAAAACATCCTCTTTACCTCTAGGTAGGCAGGGGCAGAAAATTTCATTATTTACACATAGTTAAAATTATATTTTATGTATATATATCTATAACAGATGTTGAACCATTCAACTTCTTTATATATTTACTTCTTTGTATTTTGAACCCTTTAATGAAAATCCTTGGAGGTAAGGTAAGCCTCTGTACACTCTATTCTCGTCAAATCTCACTTGTTAAGGATCAAGTGCTTGTTTTACAAAAAATACGAAAAGTTGCATAGCAAATGGGCTACTTTTAGTTCAGTTGCTCCAAATAGTTGATACCACAAAAGAGGGTGAGAAGTAAGAGTTACCAGTACAATTGGGAAAAAAGTCGGAGGGATCTTCTTGTAAGAGGGTGGAGCAGTAGTCTTTAGAGAGATCTAAGTCAATTTCAAAAGTGCCGTCAATGGAGGAAACAAGTGTGAATCTCAGCAGCTCTTCTATGCAGTCCTTCAGTTGCAGTGACGCTCCAAATCCCGGAGATGCTGGCTGAGATTCCATTTTCATCGACATGGATCTTTATTGACTCAATTCCCCCATGCGTTCATATGTTCCTGTGACCGGCCCTTTATTTTTTCCGGTGTCTGTTTGTATCGACTTATTTTAACTGTTCTTAAATCAATAACAATTTTAAAGTGTTTTTGTAAAGTTAAACTTATTTTAAAGTCCAAAGCCATAGGTTAGAACTTCTAACTCGTGACTTTTTGGTTATAAGTCAAAAGTTAATTTAGACAGACCCTTAAAAAATTATTATGATTATAATGTGGGTAATCAAACCAATCAATTATAAGGTGAAAATTCATTTTACAAAAATCAATTGGGCTAGTAAAATTTTGAGGTGGAAAAAAATTGAGAAATAGATGCATTTCTTCTTTGTTTGAATTTCATACATGCCATTAGGGGTTTGTCCCAATAAACTGGCTTGTTTTAGCTTTGTTAACAACAATAAAAAATCTCCTACATTGCTATGTTAGGGATCCCTTTGATCTCCTACATATACTTTTCTAATCCCTACAATCTGTTAAATATGTGAAATTCTCTAAGCTAACACCTAATCAGATGTCATTTTTAGGTTATTGATCTAGGATTAGTATCAACCTCAGCTTCTTTAACTTTGCCTAATTCTATCATATCTACTGTTGCAGAAGAATGAGGCTTGATAGAACTATCAAAGTTGTGATGATGATTCTGCTCATGGTGTGCTTCAAATGTCCACATGAGGACTAATGCGACCATCACTGTTGACAGGAAAACGAGTCCTCCCCATGTCATATGCGCGTTTTTCTTTAATGGTTTGCAGTGGTAGTCAAGGATATCAGAGAACGAATCATACACTGTGTCGCATTCTGCTAGGCTTTCCATTCCAGGGTACACATCCAGTATCCTTTTGAGAGCAGTTGTATATGCCTCGATGTTATTGTAGTCCCTAAGCGGAATCAAGACTCCACCAATACAGTTTTCGTTCGTGCAAGTCAACATCTTGATTATCTTCATACAAGAAGAGAAAATTCCGTCAAATCAAATGTAACTAAGAACAGTAACTTTGTGTGAAGGAAACTGTGAATTATAGCCTTTGAGTTATATATACCCGAGGGAGGTCTCCTATCCTGATTGCGCTAGATGGACAGTTCTCATCAGGCTCGTAGTTATAGTCAGGTGGACCGGAGAATGGATTGCAGATTTGTGCAACATTTCCATAATTTGTAGCTAGTTCTCGATTTACCTGCAAATTTCCATGTTATCAAGACTAGTAAACAAAAACCTTATTGCTCTAAATACCAGTAGTATTACTTATTTTGCTGTGATACTAAATTTTACCCTGTTCACTACTCGATGAATCCCTTCACTGACTTCATGTAGAATTGATTCTGCAGTGAGTAATTCATTACAAGGGAGGATGGAACTCAAGCTATTGTTATAGGGATTTATCTCGAAACTTTCTAGAGCTGTGCATGCGTCTCCAGCAAAGCTACAATAAACAGATGGAATATGATCATCAGTACCCGTACAATTTTTTAGATGAAACACAAAACTTGAGTAGTTATTGGAAATCGTTTTCATACTTACTTGTCTAGAAAGAAATAAATCCCGAAAAATAACCAGCACAGAATTGTAAAGATCCAACACACTGCAATCAGCCTGCATGGATGAGAAAAATGTTTCAAACATTAGAAACTATCGGAGTATTGCCAAGAACTTGGAAAGTGTATGTCAGGTATACTATATCTAAACAGGAGGCTAAAGTGATATACTTACAGGCGAAGATTTCTTCTGAATTTGAGGATTCCAAATACTGCAATGAAAAAGATTTTGCAGCTTTAGTCAGAATTAGATATTTAACGACAGCCCTACTCAAAAATACCAGGTGCGGATAAGTTTTTAGTCACCTGTTAGGGCAATTTCAAGATTCTTTTGAAATAATATCGAACAACAGGAAAAGTCGAGTTGGATTTAGTAGTAACCTGTTAGGGCAATTACAGCAACCAAGTTGAGTGAAATGATCAATGTAGTTACTATATACCTGCCAACGAAAAGTAGCATGCATGTCATTTTTTTTTCTAGCAACAGAAAATGTATGCACTCGAAAGCACACACTAACTCTAGATCCTGGATTTGCATCTACTAGAGGATGAAGACTTACAATATGTCAAGGCCTTTCATGATTAAACGCCTATTTTCGGTGGCTTCCCTATGTATATCAGCAGCCTGTCTGTCAAGACTTCTAGAGGTGGGAATGAGGAAACGAGCAGCCTCATGACGTATATCAGTATGTGCTAAGTCAGTGTACATCGCTCTCAGGGCTCCAGTAGTAGTGTATATAGTCTCCGATGCCCCCTCTGCTGTATCAACGACAATATCCACAACTGTATTTGTTCTCGAACGAAGTTTTGCATTCCCTCCTAATGCCAGGCCTGTAGCTGTTCTGCAATAACAGTGAAAGTATCTCCATTTTGTAACCCCTTCCACTATAAATGAAACCAAGGATGCAGAGCATATATATATATATTTTTGGTACCTGTTTTGGGCTTAACAAGTAGTCTGTTTGGTCAAACTTGCGAAATCTGCTTTTCGAAAAAAATGTTTGACTAATTTAAACATTTTTGTCAATATTAGAGTAGCGATTCGTGCTTGATTAAGGTTCTAAAAGTACTTATCAGAAAAAAGCTTTCAACTTCTCAAAAACAGTTTCTGCTACGACTCAAAAAAGCCCTCCTTACCACTCTCAGAGCTCGAACCCTAAGATATTTGGTAATATAGAGGAATACTTACCATCCCACCACAACGAGTGGGTGGTGGGGTGGGGTGGGGGTATTTAAGTGAAAGAATGAAGTAACTTACATAGCTAAAATTGTGAAGAAAATAGCTGAGAAGGTCAGCCAGAGATAACATTGTTTATAACAAGTTGATTTCTTCTTAAACTCTTTGTTTTTCCTATTAGAGCAGCAGCAGGTAGAGGCTAAAAGAAATACTCCATATCCTAAGCCACACAACAGCCATATCACTGCAATCACATAGCCATATATACCTGTAAAAATTGTGGACTGCACAAGAAAAAAAAATTGAAATTTCATGTTAGATGTTATTTTTTAATCCTATTAACTCGTATCAGGTCACACAAAGGATATTTATAGTTAAGTGCCATGATGGTATAAAAAATTTCTAATACTGACGATATATATAACTTAAAACACGTTAGGATAATATATGCAAACTCACACTCCAATAGTGTTTATTTGTAATGTCAAATCCTCCTTCGTATTTCTTGAAATTGTTCAAAGGATTTATTCTCACTGTATCATCTGATTGCTTGGCTTCTGAAGCATAATCTAACTCAACTAATCTTCTTTCTGCATAATCAACAAGTCAATTTATCACATTAATTAATATTAAAAACAATATTTCTTAGCAATAAGCTTAATAGAATAGCTAGTTATAAGTATATTATAAATGTATTGCATTATTACTACAATGCTGGAGTCGATACAATTGACAAAACTGTACAAGACAATTTTCCAAAAACAAAAACTCAAAAAAGTGACTAGTAAACGTTATTTCTAGTCATACAAACCAAAACGAGAAACCAAACGGGTAACGAAAAAAAATTAATATAAAAAAAAATTGTTACCTGGTGGATTGGTTGATAATCCTTCAAGATTAGTGAAGTGAAAGATAAAGAGTAGGGCAAATAATAGCAAGATTATAATCACTTTCCTCCCATGCATAAACTCCATCTTCTAACCTGTCAAGTAACTTAAACTTCGTATCAAGATAGAGTTAAAGATAAGCTAATTTTATCTGTTAGCGACAATAGTAATATAACAGCAAAGGCGAAGTCAGAATTTTTAGTTTATGAGTTTCTAACCAAGATATTTTTGTATCGTTACTGAATTATCAAAATTATTAAATTTTGTCGAATGCTGATAAAAAAGTACATTAATCTACCTTGTCGAACGTATAGAGGTGAATGTGGACAAAAAATTAAAGCTTTTGTAAACGAAGCAAAAAAAGTAGATTATTATGTGAAAGTAAGGAACAATATCATTTATTAAAAGATAATATAATTTTAATTCTTATACATTATAAATACTGAAATAACTAAATAAATTCTATTAAATATCCTTCTCCTATATTAACTCTTTTTTTGTAGTGTTATGTTTTTAAGTTTTAAAAGCTCCACCGACCAAGACAGTTTATTTTTTCTTTTTCATGAAATAATATTATCGAATTAAAAGTTTGTTTCCTAATCAAATTGCTTTTTACATAATTAGTACTACAAAAACATCATGGAAGAAGAATCTTCACTATTATTATATATAAAAAAGAAATTCATTTTTTTTATAATACAGAATGAAAAATCAAGATATTACGTACCAAAAGATAAATCTAAAAATTGAACTTTAATTATGTATTCTAATTATACAATGACTTCCTACATACTAACGATTGGAAAGTTTATTTTCGTATGTGATATTTATATTGGAGTTCGATTAAATTTAAATTCACGCTGAAAAATTTCACATTAGAGATTAAAACACTCTCTAACAAAGGCGACTCCATATACAAGACCTAAATCCGAAATTTCTTTTCTTTATGTCTTGGGAACGTGGATGGAACAATTCTATTCTTTTGTTTGTTAAGTACTTCCTCATACTCAAATTATTTATATTTTAAAAATTTATAAGAAATTAATTATTTTTTTATTTTATACTTAATAATAATTGTTCTAGAACTACAAGCACGTAAACAGAGTAAATAGTTAACGAAGAAAGATTATATATCTTAAAACATAATTGAGGATAAAATAGTATTTCCAAAAAGAGAGAAGATAAAATAGTCAATAAAATAATAATAATCTACCGATTAACTTTATTTTTTGAAAGAACATGTAAAAGAGAAACACAACAGATAATTTGAGACGGATAGAGTCCGAAAAATACACGAAAACAAACACAAATTAAAGAATTCTTACCAGATAGTTATTCAGTTTGTTCAAGTCTTTCTTCTTATATACAAACTCATAAATCATATCAAATTTATTGAGGTACCCTAAAATTCAAGCTATTTACAAAGAGCTTTATGAGAAAAAGAAAAGTTCAATTTCACATTCATGAAGAGGAAAGGTCAGTTAACCAAATTGTTTTTTTCAATGTTAATATTGTATACAATGCATACAGCAGCCTCTCTAATTCTTCAACCCCCTTTTTGTGTACTATGTATACAAGCAATATATAAAATTTTGGAATTCTCAACTTAGTTTAAGTCACCTTTATAGGAAATTATGAAAAGGTTTACGAAATAACTACTTAATTATCATACAAAACAAAATTACTTATACGGGATTTTATATAGGAAATAAGAAATGATAACATGTAAAAATTAACTTAGCGTATTAAACTTGGATAAATGTTTTCTTCAAGTTTCTTTTGTTTTGCCGTGCACATAGTTTTATATATATGAAGTGAAGAAAAAGGAAGTGCCTAATTTACTACTCTCTATTTTATATACATTATTAAAAATACATGGTTCAAAATTGTTATTATAATATATAAGAAGTAAAGATACAATTAAATGCACTGTGTTCTCATTTTACCCCTTAATAATAATGTTTTCATAGAAATGATAGACTTTGATTAACAAGTATAGAAAATCTAAGTGAAAATCCAGAATGCATATATAGAAATGAGAGAATACTTGCTCAATAGTTGTTCGTTGTGAAGTGTTATGAATAGAAAAAGTGAATAACAATGCTGTGAGATATAACGTATAGTAGCGATAGAATAGATTATCTCATATGGTAGAATAACTTATCCCAGAATCAATTATCATATAATAACTTGTTTCCAACCAAACGACGGTGATGGTTTAGACATTTCACTTAGAGCCGATTTTTCCTTTGAAGCACCAAACCAAACATGTCGATTAACTGAACTTATAATTAACAAAAGGAAAAGAACTTGTGAAAGACTTGACGAAATCTTCCATAACATTGAACAGCAAAAGTCATGATATCTAAGAGAGCCAATCATCGTAAACTATCACCTCTTTGTAGGCTGCACAAATAGAGTCAAAGATGTATATAGTCAACTGCAAAAAGAAACCTAGAAATTGCACCAAATTGGTCTACATCCAATTTGATAGTAATATGAACTTCTCAGCTTTCGATCATGGGCTCGGGACCTGAGGATTCCGTCTGTGACTTGCTTGACTTACCAACACTATTGAAAAGAATGTCTTTAATTACCTGCAAACCAAGGATAAATACATAGTGTCAAGACATTCTATTCAGCAATGGAAATGTTCAAAGAATTAAAGCTAGATGAATGATGTGTGACTAAAATAAGAATAGAACAACATGTACCTGCGACATTAAGCCATGAACTTGTTCGACAGTAATCTTAGCACTATCACGTGTAATCTTAGCAAGCTGAGATTCTTCCTGCAATTCAGAGGACCAACACGTTTAGAATCACTATGCAACCTAAGTTGCATGATGCATGTTGTATTTTGCAATTTAATGAAGCATGCATAAGTAGAAAGGTAAAAAGAAGTCAAAAGACTACTGAAAAATGAAGTCAGAGTCTGATAGCACTCGATGCACAGCCTGAAGTTTTAGGCCAAGGCTGTGTAACTACCACATAACCAAGCTCAATAGCACAAAAACAAATGGTAAGATGCATGAAGTGAAACAATATGGCACATCCCCACCTACTGCAGCAAATTACTGATTGCTTCATAATAAATACTTGAAAAGGGTACTGCATTACAAGAAAGTAAAAGCCTCCACCCCTGAGTGCATTATGGAGCCGTCCCGATTCCCGAGGATGCCATCATTCCATGTATTTATGATAGCTCAGGATGATGAAAGAAAGGAGAAAGAACAAGTTGGTCATGCTACTTTATGAATTTTAGGGACTTCATCCCAAGGGAAGACAATCAAACAAGGCCTTTCACTAAGGGTAAAATTGTAATAGCAAGTATCTTCCTTTTTCTATTTAGTAAAAGTAGTGGTTATTATCTTGAAAGGTAGATTATTATCAAACATTTATAGTTCCCCAAAGTTCTTTCTAATTGGTTTAGGTGTATGATAGGATATTCAAAGGAGGTCATTTCTATATTGAATTGGTTGTCTTTGATTCATTTCTTGTGTCTACCCTTCTATCTTATTTTGTTTCTTTTACTTTCTTCTTGTTATTCTTAATTTTGTCTTTAGAATTGTGTCAGGCCCGGTACCTCTATCAAGCTCATCCCTTTCTACAAGTGCATGTAACAGTCATAGAGATAACAGTAATAGTGATGATAAACTGCCAGACAATACGTTGTTGCCTAGTCATATTTTATCCTCTATTCTGTAACTTCCCAGCTAATTTTGGTCAAAATGGTTACGTGCAAACTAAAATAGACTTTGGAAGTTGAGGAAACTGGTTGGTTCAATGCTTTCAGGATCCACTTGCCACGGTACAAATATCGCATGTGCAAAGGAAAATAGAGAGAACATTAAGATAGATTGAAATCACTGCCCAAGGCAAAGACTGATATACCAAATTCTAATCATAAAGCTTATCCTCAAATTTCACTAGGTTAGTATTATGCCTGATATACCTAATTGCAATCACAAAGCTTATCCTCAAATTTCGCTAGGTTAGTATTATGCCTGAGCCCTAATATACCAAATAGTAATCACAAAGCTTATCCTCAAATTTCGCTAGGTAAGTTGCTTGCTAATATAATGCTATAGCTTTTGTTTTCCACTCATTTGCCTTTCACTGGTTTCTCATCACTTCTATGAGTCTGCTCCCCACCCCCCACCCCCAAACAAACCTCAAATCCCTAATGTGAGAATGAAAATACAGACACCTGTTCATAATAAACAGAGAAATTCAATAATGATGCAGCTCACCTTTTACACCTAGTTCTGCTTCACAGATCCGATATTTGGCAAGTGATTATTAGCCACTCTTAACCACAGAAGTAACAAATGTCTTTATTCCACAGGTCCACTATAATAGAGGACCAAAATATTAGAGGTAAAGATAGGATCATATTGGCACATTATCATGATGGACTAGTTTTCTATTTGGGGTGATACTCTAAGACATTCACATGAGTAATGAGAAGGAAACTTCTCCGATGTCCACTATACCTTACTTTGATATCTTCTGTTTAAAGTAGTAAGAGAACTCTTCACTCATACTGTCTTGGCCATTTATCCCTTTCTTGAGAGTTACACTTCCACGTACACGCTGTTACTAAGAGTTGCATGAACCTAATCCATAACAGATCAACAGACCATATTTCTGCATTTGAATACAGAATGTATCCCTTTTTCTTCTTGTACTGCATTACTTTCTTCTAGTTGATCTTTATAAGCACGCATTAGGCGTTCCAGTATATAAATTTTTAGCAACTCTCATCACTTAAAAATCAAGAGAAGAAAGAATGAAAATGTAATTGGTGAATTGGAGGCAAATTTATATTTAGTACTCTTTGCACATCCATGCACACTTTAATTTTAAGCAGTTTCATGGCCCAGAAAAATATGATCAAGAGGTACAGTTGCGGGTTTCCCTTGTCGTCGAAATAGGAACCACATGCCAAAAAGATACAGAGATAATGGCTTCAACAAATCCAAAAGACTAAAGAACTGGCAAACTGATATTCCTTTTTTATGCCAGACTAATATTCTCAAAAACAAAGTAAGAGATAGACTTGTGAGTTAGAGTATGAATTATCAAGGCCAAAAGAAAAACATGTAAAAGAAAATACCTCCTTCTTCCTTTGAGGGGGTGCCATTAAGGATGCATAACGTGAATTAGACAGCTGATTTTCAGCATGCTCCAACTTTTCAGCTGCATGATTTAATGGGATCAACTAATTTTAGGTGTTACAATATCATGAAAACTCATATGCAGGAATGAAATCATTATGATGATAAAAGAAAGTGGAAAATGTAGGCAATAATGATATTACCAAGATCAGATATCTGTCCAGCAACATAGTCTCCATTTCCAAGCAAAGGAGATGATGAAAGTGTGTTCACCCAATACTTGTTCCATAGTAGGTCCAAGAGACGACAATCGAGAGAAGACTTAAAATATGTAATATCCAATGAATAATACTGCAAATCGAGAGAAAAGCTGGTAAGCTAACAGTCAGAGTGAAGCAGAGTTGAAGACCTAGATTCTAATATGTGTGCGAGTGCAAGCGCTCATGCCAAAGAGGAGACCTGCTTGCAATGTACTCCAAAGTCTTCGATTTTGTTCAAAGGAATGGTCTGGTACTCCGAGATGGGGTCATCTGGAGGTTTATATCCTTCAGGATATGTTCGAAAGGCACCAATCTCAACTTTTCCAGCAGAAACAGTTCTTGTTGGATCAATAACAACTGCAAGAAAGGGTTCCTGATATTGCTGGTTGAGCATTTGGGTAGATACATCAATGCCAGAGAGCCAGCATCCATAACCAGGATGGGAATGGTACCACCCGACCACATTTTCCAAACGACCAGCCTATACCAAAAAGTCTGAGTAAGAGAATGGTCAGAACAAACTGCAGTAACAAGCACACTCCAATTCAGGAACCGAACACAACAACATGACATGGTCATTAGGTTTCGGGATCAAACTAGGTAATATTCTCTTCTTCACTGAGAAAACATCACAAATTCAAGCCAGCAGAATGAAATATCATAATGGGATTAGTGTACAATCAAGGATAATAAGTTTTATATGATTGTCCTCTTCATATATGTCAATCAAAAAAGTTACAACAATAGTTGCAAGTCCCTGTTGTCAAGTAAGCTAGAGCAGACTGCTAGGCAAACTAGTCAAAGCAAATTGGACCGTCACACGAATGAGAACAAAACCTCAATCTCAAGCTAATTGGAATCTGCTATACGAACTTCACAATTCAGTTAGTTTCCATTTGAACCGGTAACATTCTAATACTTAGGGAGTAATTCTAAAACTCAAGGCATTTACTATTTCAACCTACAGTTGTGCTCCATCTGAACCAGTTTGATTCCAATATTCAATAAATCCAACAAATTCATTCTAAATTGACTAGGTTTATTCTAAAGCTCACAGTATACTAGATACTCATAAAAAATTAATCTTTTTTTTTATAAACGCACTAACCTGCTTGTTGGTCTGTGAATATTCGACCATATATTCATACGCATCAGCTTGAGCATTAACCCTAGTTTCAGTGCCTTCAACGGGGAGGGCAAAAGCGTCCATTACAATGATGGCATCGCCGTCAGTCTTACCCTGCATGAGTCCCATGACCTCAATTGTACCTCCGGAACGCGCGTGAACAACCATCTTGAGAAGAGCAAGAGCAGAGATCTTCACACGCTTGAAGTAGTGAGGGTCACTCGCCCACGGCTTCTCCCGCTGAAACTTCGTCTGTGCCGCATCGTCGTAGTGGAATATAGCGTCCGACGCGGAGTTTTCCGGTTTCGACCCCGACGGCGCGTCGATTGTTACGATGTTGTTCTCTAACTCCCAGGTTTGCTGCGCCATCGCCGCCGACGATGCGTAAGAATTCAGAGAGTCCATTGTAACTTCAGAGAGAAGGGCAATTGCCGAGCACTGCGCTACAATCTGAATTTATAAGTTAAAAATCGACCAGGGTTAATTAGAACAAATTTACTTGAATTAAGAAAAGAACTCTAAATATCTTTTTGAATTCGAATCAATTGGAAATTAAAAAATATATGTTAAATTTAAAATATTAATTGATTATTAAATCAAAAAAATAATATTTACTTATTTGTAAAATAACTAAATAAATATTTAATTATTATTAAACTAATAAATTAAACTTATCTTTGATATTTCAAGTATGCTATAAGTTGTAAATATTCTAAATATTAATGTTCCAGACATTAAATATCTCTCAATATATTTGACGGTGGAAAATAAACATTATGATTCACTTTTTCAAAGTTCATTTTTGTAATTTGTAGTTGAAGAATCTACTTGTTGCATCATTCCAAAAATATTATTGTTGCATCGTATATTTCAAAATAACTCGACTTATTATAAAAAAAAAAATTCACAAATAAACTAGCAGTCTCTTTTTTTCAATTCTTACAAGTTTGACACTGCCTGTACCTGTTTCTAACTGTTTTGACATGCATGGAAGAATTAAATTGAATTAATGCAAGATTAATTTGTTATTAATAAATTTCTCGTAACATTCAACACTTTTAATAACAGAATTAATTTATGGGAATAACAGGAGAACATTTATAAAAGGTTTTAGTTCAGTTGCACTCACTGCTATAATTAACTAGCTATATAGCTACAGGATTAATTAAGAAAAATAAGATAAAAATTATATTTATAAAATTACACAGAATGCAGGTTATACTAATTTTTCTACTTTTTTTTGTTGGAATTTTAGTGAAATCAGTAAATTCAGAAAGATACATTGTTGGAGAAGGCTATGGCTGGCGTTCTGCTCCTTACCCTACTTACTATGAAGATTGGGGTAAAACTATCAAGTTAAAACCTGGAGATGAATTAGGTAAAATTCGATTTCATTTTACATAGATCGATTTAGTTCAGTGTTTTTATTCATCGAATTTTTCGTACCAATTTATTTGTAGAGTTTAGATTCCAAAAGCCAGACGATTTGCTGCAGATTGCAAAATATGACTATTATGCATGCAGTTCCAACACTCCTTCCAGGCAGTATAACAATAGTCCAGCAACAGCATTCTTGTTGATACCTGGAGATTATTACTTCAAATCCAGCAACAATACAAATTGCATCAATGGCCAGAGGCTTTATGTAAATGTACCACCTCCAAATGAAGATAAAGATAAGGATAACCAGCCTGGTGTATTAAAGAATTAGATCGATACGAATCTAAGATATCTAGAGTCAGTGAAATCAGAATGAAAAGTAATCTTATATATGCGTAATCGTAGTTTTTTCTTATGTTTTTGCATGGTTTGGTTTGAGTCAGAGGCAATAAGTTCAGTTGAACTCACAAAACCTGTCATAGGCAAAAGAATGCTCAGATATATACAACAGGAAATCTGTTTTCCATGTGTATTACCAGAAATCTATTAAAACAAATAAAATAAATGAAGAAGCAACAGCTATAAATACATATCTGGGCTTAAGAAAGAAAACTAGGCTCTCTACTCTTCTGGCCAAAATTTCACATTCTTCCGTAAGTTTAACAGAAACAACCTTTCTACCCCATAAACGTAGGGGGGTAAGGTATGCATACGTCCACCACTCTCTTCAGACTCCACTTGTGGGAATATACTGGGTATGGTGTGGTTGTTCATCAGATTGTATCTCCAGCACGAACCATAGTATGTCTTTTCAGAATGCAGCATCGGTGAACACCTGACAATTTTCTTCAAGTCACACAAATAGAACAAAAGGCCGTAAAATAACAAACATAAACATGACCTCATTTGATTCAGAAGTTTCAAAGTACAGTTACATGTAAGCATACCATACACATGAAATGAGTCTCTCTTTCAACGACGAAGAAACCGTTGTCCTTGCTAGATATCGTCACCAACAAAATCTAGCAAAGCCTCTACGTAATTGAGATCTTGAGCTATGCTCCAATCAATGCCTCGAGGCTTCAGAGGCTACTCCACATCCAACAACTCCTTCAGTTGTTCTTTACTACTGCATGTCCAGCAGACAACTATGCATTAGAAACAATAACGAGTACATGCAATAACACAGAAATCTATAAGGTGATTTCAGTTACTCTTTTTCGTTCATAATGCAAAAAGAAAATCCCTCCTTTTACTAAACCACAGGCAGACGGGATTAGTAAACTCGGACAAATTGAGTGAGATCACCTTCTTAAACGTAAAAATACTTGGTCTGCACTATAATATGACATATTGGCTTTTACTTTCACTAGACAGGGGAGTGCACATAGCATGTTATAACTTGATAAGACTAAAAAATACAGCTGTGTCACGATTCAAAGCTACTAATGGAGACTGAAAAACTAGGTATAGCAAGCATAGAGGCAAAGTTCTTTCTCCTGGTGCCGAAACTAAAGATGATTCTTAATCATGTTTACTGAAGTTCAATTCAGAGATTAAATGGATAAACATCTATTGTACACTTATTCTCATACCATCTATACTCTGTCACACCACCAATTCACACTGAAGTTTGCCTACCGCTTAAGTTCATTTACCAATAATAACTTGAACTTATCCTGCCATAACATCAATTATATGAACCAAGCTGAAAAGGTCATATTTTGCTAATTGGTCATAGTTCTGCAATTTGGAAAACTTCCTTTATTTCTTTTAGGGCGAGAGAGGCAATTTTAAAGTTCTGGAACATTCTATAATCCTTTATTGACGGATATATATAAAGAAAAAAAACGATTAGCACAAAGAAATTTGAGGTTTGGCCACAGGATTAGACTACAATAACTGTTTGGTCATTGGACCTGTAGAGTAGACAATCTATATATTTTTGGTCATAAGTAGAAGATTAGTTTAAAAATAAGCTTCTCTGAGTCGAGCAGCTTCCCTGCTCATGATATTTTATCTTCCATGTCAAAATAAATAACACTAGATAATGTGTAGAAGTAATAAGAGACCTGCAGCAGACTCAGAAGTACCTGTTTGCAAAAGAAGGAATTATCTCTTCAAGAGCATGGAGCATAATGGAATTAGTGGTCTCACCACAAGAACTTCGCCTGTTCTTGAGAACTGTAAATGAATAAAACAGCCAGTAATCACCACCCTTAAAA